ATAGAGCCTGCTGTTGAGCGGGGATATGCGCTATACAAATGCTATCTATTATTTTATTATTATTATTTCTTCTCTTCATTCATTGCATTTAGGTCTACCTACATGTGTATGTCGCCTCTTTTTTTTTGCGAACAAAATGTCCTACCACAGAGGAAAAGAAAACAAACCATTTGAATGCCTTTTTTCAGGAGAACAGAAATGACGAATTTGCGGACTGCAAATTATGTAATGTCTCCTTGAAATGTAAGGAATCCCATAAAAAATTTAAAGAGTCACATAGATGCCAAGACACAGTGAATCGGCAGACAAATAACAAGGTCAATGAATTGAGGTGACTCGGAGGTAGAGTCATAGCTTCTAAGTCTGAGCAACAGAAGCTCGACAGTGTCACGAAATGTGCCTCTGTAAGCTTCAAATAACCCGATACCCCCTCCTCCCACCCCCCTTACACACACAGACAAAACACATACACATGCATGGGGTCTTATCGCAGGATGTGATGATGTTGTCAGAGTTGGAAAGTGGGAATATAGAGGTAAAAGGTAATGATCAAACATTGGCGACATGACAATATTATAATGCACAGTCCTCTTACTCTTGAAGGAATGTGGCTCTTGCTGGGAGGGTGTGAACTAAGCTTCTGTTGTCAGTATACAGTACATTTTGGGACTGGGGAGGTGTTATGAGGAGATAAAGAAGAGAAGAGGGATGCACACACTGAAATTATAGGCTTTTGTCAGCGTTCAGTTTTTGGATACTCCCCCCAAAAAATTTTGTTGGACGGTTTATAACAGTGAAATAAAGGTTGCTGTTGTTATAGGAAAAGGTTGCTATTAAAGGGGGTTATTTACAAAGGAAAAAATTAATTACTCAAGCTTTAGTTGCTGTAGGCAGATTTTGCTCTTATCTGGGTTGCTGCTAAGTGGACACCACCAAGCTGTACTCAACCCTTTTTCCCCCATTGGGGATCCAAAGTATGAATACTGACATTGGACGGTCATAATGATCTTTTTCATTTGTCTCATAAATCGTAAATCTCTTTGAGAAGGCTGAAGAATGAAACAAACACTCTTGTACTAAGAATTAGCAGAAGCAACTGTGAATCAAACTATTTTTGAAAATTCAAGAGCATCGCAAAGATAAAATATATTTCCTAAGAAAATCATGTAAAAAAAGGGAACTTATTCACAAATTAACTTGTTGGCAAAATTTTACAGAAAATATGAGAAATTAGGCTGTCCTACAAATGTAAAATTTTACTCTAATTTCACTCCTGTGTGCACCTACAGGATGCCTGCAAGTGGAAGCACAAGAACTGATGTGTGGACTCCCACAGTGGGGACTGCATTCAAACTTCTCATGTCTGCCAGACTTTGTGCTGCGTTGTGGAGCGTTGTGTCGGATTGTGATGAGACTTACAATTATTGGGAGCCGGTGAGATTAGAAGCTTTGTCAATTTCATAATATATTTTTTAGATCATGTTATAAATGTTTATGTTTCAACCTGTCACTGCCATGTTTTCTTTAAACCCTTGTATTTCTACGGTTACCTTCTTATTGCTGTTATTATTATTTAATGGAATACTTTTAGATTTTGTGTGTTGAAGTGAATATTGAACAACTAGTGTTTCTACTCACTTAGTGGCACCTTGTTCAATATTTAAATTGTGTTATAAAAAAATACTAGTTTTTAATGGATTGTCTACTGCATAGAGCATAATTTGTCACTCTGTTCCTTCTTTGCTGTTCTTGGTGTTGTGAGCCATAAAAGTAGGGAGGAAGCAGAGCGGGCATTTTTGGTTGAGAACCGAAAGACTGGTTGGGTAGAGTTCAGCAGTCATGTAAGATTCCAGCCGAGTTGTAGAAAATGGAATTATATTATAATCCTAGATTTTTATTTTCTGTGTGTCAGACCTTGTTTCAAGTCTTATTTTTTCTGGAGAGGAACTTTGGAGCACGTCTTGATTCATATCGCTTTTGGCAACTCAAAAAATAAGACTATAATCACTCTCCAAAGATAAATTTTTAAAAATCTGGTTGGACGTTATGTTTGTGGTGTCAGTAGTCTAGTGGTAAGGCTGGCGTACTTGCAGTTGTGAGGTTGCAAGTTCGGGGTTCAAGCCTCTGGCTGTACGTGGCGACCTTGGAAAAGGCACTTTACTTGAATCTTCTCCTCACTTCACTCAAGTGAGAATGAATACCCAGCCATAGACAGCAAGTTAGTGTTAGTAAGTTAGTGTTTTAGCGCCTATAAAAATTTGGCAGCTTACACTGTATGCTTCCCAGGAATTTTAGATTGTTTCAGAATGCTATCAGGTCTTCTGGGGTAGTAATGTTATAGATTGTAATAGAGAGCTTGTAGTTAAGCAGGAATTTTCACTCTGTACTAATGTTATCTATTTTTATTATTTGGATATGATTGTTTTCATTATGCTATTGTAGTAAGTGTTAGTCACAGTTTATTTTGTCTACAATTGCTACAAAGCTTGTGGTTTGTCACATAATTATTTCCTTCTAATGTTTTTTTTCTGTTGCTAGAAATAAACTTATACTCTTAGTGTAGGAATTATGCATTAGAAATAAACTTATACTCTTAGTGTAGGAATTATGCATTAGAAATAAACTTATACTCTTAGTGTAGGAATTATGCATTTTTAAATGATTTTTTCTTTCATAAGTTGTGACCCTTACAACATTTATAATTTACTGGGAATGGGTCAGCAGTACCAAATATGCTATGTGCAGTTTTCACCACTTTCTCTTCAATAATAATTCAATCTTTTTAAAACAAGGCTTTAAATTGATTATGACAAAGCTGAAATTTCCTGACTAACAAAAAAAATGTAATCATAAGAATAAGATGTTAGAAACTTTAATTTCAATTATTTTTCTTTGTGTGTCTTCACAGGCTCATTATCTTCATACAGGGAAAGGTTTTCAGACTTGGGAGTATTCCCCTGCTTATGCCATTCGTTCGTACGCATACATTCTGCTGCACGTACTGCCCATGAAGCTGCTTGCCCTTCTCTTAGGGAATAACACTGTAAGTTGTAGTAAGCAATACTGTCCTCAGGCGGAAAAAGATGTTGAATGACTATTACAGTTTGTGTATGTGCATAAGTAAGCCTGTTTTTGGATGGATAATTAATGTATTTTTGGGTGTGATAGTGTTTGTGTCTATCGTAAAAGGGGCAGGGGGGGGGAGCGGATTTATATAGCGCCTAATCCCTCAAAGGCTGTAAACTCTGCTCAATGCAGGATTATCACACAACTTAACAGTCAAATCAAAAGACAGAAAATGCGCATTGTGACCCCATTTAACAAAAACACAAGCAACTCACAAACACACACACACACACACACACACACACACACACACACACACACACACACACACACACACACACACACACACACACACACACACACACACACACACACACACACTCACAACTCTCGGAACAATGCACAATTGGGCATACAAAAACTACTGGCAAACGATAAAATTGTACTAATGTGTCTTTAGACTTTTCTTAAACATTCACTCTGATTTTATAAAACATTTTTTGGGGCAGAGAATTTTAGAATTTAGAGGCATAGGAAGTAAAAGCTCTTCTACCTCCCTTATAAGACCTCACAATTGGCACGCTCATGCACTTGTGACATAATGGAGCAATTTGTAATCAGTTCCAGCTGTGGCTTGTAGCCAATGTACGTAGCTTTATCAAAGGAAGAAACTTTTATGCTCAAAGAGAGCACCAGTTTCGCATTTCACAAATTGTTACTGTGCTTGTAAAATGGCACATCTCGTTTTTACTACTTTTGAGATTAAGGGAAAAAACTGTTTAACTAGACTATTTATCATATATAATAATGGTAAAACTTGCCATGCATGTTTCTTTTGTGTCTGCCTGGGCTTAAATTTTTTTTTTTTTACCAAGAGATCGGTATAGCACAACCAACAAACAAACAAAAAAAGCCTAGCTTTGGCACAACTTTTATAACATTTCTCTAGTGTAGGAGTGATGAAATGCTCTGGGCACTATTTCTTGTGATTATCGGACATTGCACACTCTAGTAATCTTTTTGTTCGTTGTGTCTATTCTGCGTTTCAGATACTTGTTTTCTACATGACAAGGTGTTTACTAGGTTTGGCCTGTGCACTCTCTGAGGTTCTATTTTACAGGTGAGTGAGTCCTACCATTAAATTGGATGCTTGTTGCTTTCCTATTTTATAATGTTTATTAAGGATTTGTTTTCTATGTTATTTTATGCTTGTTTTTTAAGCTAATTTGTGCAATTTTGCAGAGTCATTTTCCGTTAGGTATAATGAAATCTTTCCCCCCTTATATTATTATTTCTTCATAGGGATGTCTTTTGGATGTTATTAAATTAATAGAGAAATAATAGAGAAATAATTCCCATGATAGTTTCTTCTTCTAGTATGTTTGCATTACACAGATATGAGTGTTTTCAGTAAATAAAAAGATTTCAGAAAGTCTGACATTCCACGCTGTGTTCGCACTTTGATCAAATGTCTGTACTTTGGTAAAAATATCTGTCTACCTGTCTGTCTGTCTGTCTGTCTGTCTGTCTGTCTGTCTGTCTGTCTGTCTGTCTGTCGGTCTGTCGGTCTGTCTGTCTGTCTGTCTGTCTGTCTGTCTGTCTGTCTGTCTGTCTGTCTGTCTGTCTGTCTGTCTGTCTGTCTGTCCGTCCGTCTGTCTCACTCTGTCTCTCTATGTCTCTCTCTCTCTCTTCCCCTCCCCCCCCCCCCCACCTCTCTTTTCTCTCTTGTGCTTGCTCTTTCTCTCCTCCGCCCTCTCTCTTTTTTATCTTTCTCACTCTCTTTCTCTCAAACAGGGGTGTGTGTTCAGTGTTTGGTCCCAATGTCGGTCGGCTGACTCTGGTGTTTCTGCTGTTTGCGGCCGGAATGTTTGGGGCTTCTGCCGCCTTTTTGCCCAGCAGTTTCTCCATGTATCTCACCATGGTGGCTTATGGGGCGTGGCTGCTTGGTTATGACCACGTGAGTTTGGGATAACCGATAATGTTGTGCTTGGGGTTCATGTGTGTTAGACTAGAGAGGCTTAATTACTCTGCCTGTCTGTCTGTCTGTCTGTCTGTCTGTCTGTCTCTCTGTCTGTCTGTCTGTCTGTCTGTCTGTCTGTCTGTCTGTCTGTCTGTCTGTCTGTTTGGCTGGCTGGCTGTCTGTCTGTCTGGCTGTCTGTCTGTCTATGTGTCTGTCTGTCTGTCTGTCTGTCTGTCTGTCTGTCTATCTGTCTGTCTGTCTGTCTGTCTGTCTCTCTCTCTCTCTCTCTCTCTCTCTCTCTCTCTCTTCTCTCTCTCTCTCTTTTTTCCCTCTCACTTTCTCATGCTGATTTTTTTTCCAGAAAACCTCAGAGTCAAAAGTGCGTTCATGTTCTTTTTCTGTGTCTTCACACAAATTAAGGGGGCTCTCGTGGCCTAGAGGTTTAGGTGTGGGCCTCTCATTCAAAAGGTCCCGGGTTCGAATCCGGGTAGCGACCGAAAAATTTTCTTCTCTAAATTTGTCTCCTTTGACCTCATTTCCTGCTCTCTAGCAATGTTCTGTCGTCTGCTTTTGTCTCCTCTTTCTGCCCCCACCCCCTCACCTCCTCTGCCCCTTCCCCTGGGCTCCTGATTCTTTCTGCAGCCTTACTACTGCTACTCCTTCGCTTCTTCTTACTGCTGTCTTTCAGCCACACCCCTGATCTTCTGGTAGGAAAGATCTACACCTAGCCTTCTCGGACTAGGGCGAAAAATCTCGGAGGGCCCGTGTGCAAGTTATGCACATTAAAGATCCCTTGGTGGTCTAAAATCAATAAGTGTAGGCTTCGGCCGCCACCCGGGCAAAATTCAAAATTTCCTTCCAACTGAAAATATTAGGTGTGTCCCGCACGCTCATATGACTTTATGCAGTTGCGAGCGCCGTAAAACGCTTTACACAAATTAATATGTCATTCTTTTTGTTTACCTTTTACCTTTTCTGTAATTGATTCTCCCCTTTCTTTATCAGTACATATATATATATCATGTTTACTGGCTCACATTACATCTATTTATCTGTAGTGGCCTTCCTCTTTTCCCATCTGTCTCTCTCCTGGTGTCATTCCCACTGATTCTCTACCCTTCTCCCATCCTCGATCATATGGCTGTATGTCTCCATTGACCTCACTCCACCCCCCACCCACCCAGCCCAGACCCACCCTTTCACTTTCTTTGTTTTCATTTTCTTGAACTCTTAAAGTTTGTTTACTTTCACTTTGAGAAGTACTACGGAATGCTCATTCACGTCTTAGTCAATAGTGGGTCCAGTGGTTTCAGATATAAATGTTTACCTTTACGTTATCTCTTTAGTTGTTAGCACTTGTAGTTCGAACTGTTATCTATTCTAAACATCTGGTCTTGAATCTGTAACTGAGCTGTTTGGTACACTCCCACAATACTAATACTGGATGTACTTTGTTTATCTAAACTGCTGACTGTGATTAGATCTCGCCCTTTCAATGCTCGTTGACATAGCAAATAAAGTGGAATCAAAGTTCAAGAGAAATTTACCATTGAATTAATGAAAAAAATCTTGTTTAAAGGGAAGTTGGCTATGATTATACGTCTAATTGCATATAGGTATATTTATGAGTCTATCATAGACAGAAAAGAAGTTTTTATGAAAATAACATGGCTTCTTTTGTGTCACTTGTGCTAAAAAGTTTTTTTCCGTAAAAGATAGCAGATATTGCTTTTATACCCACAAATTTATCCTCTTCTAATGAAAAGGGTATTGTTTTTATTCCATGTTTAGTAAATGTTATGTATCATACTCATGGTCAGTAGAGGCAAAAAGTGATTGTGAGATTAAGTTATATATTTTTAAAAACATTTATTAATGAATTTTACAGCCTACGGCCGTTTTGAAAACTTAGATGCTGTCACCCTTGTTGCAGTATGAGCTCCTAGCCATTGAATTTTAAAAAGTCTGTTCTAAAATGTACACCAATATGTTGTTGCATCCCTTTAGTGACAAATGTATAAAAGGGAGCTGGGACTGCATTATTTAAATATTTGAATAGCTTATTTAACCACACACGTTTCTCCCCTCCCCTCCCCCCAAAAAATAAATAAATAAATAAAAAAAATTGTGGTTGGGTGGTTTGGCGGGTGCTCTGGTGTGATTTGCTGCCTCTTTCCTATCAAACATTTCCCCTCCTTCTTTTTTGTGTTTGTTACTCTCTTGTATCACCTTTAATCGTCGACACTTATATGACCTTATTGTGTTGCAAGTGCTGTAAAACACTTAGTATATAAGCCTTATGTTTTCATTATCATCTTTGTTCACCCTGTGTCGCCAGTTTGCTGTTTTGGCTATTGCTGCCAGTGGAATTATTGGGTGGCCGTTTGCTGCGGCTCTTGGGTAAGTAAACAAAAGTTTGGAAGAATTTTTTTTTTCTGCTGTTTGCCTGTAGGTATATCTGTCCATAATATGAGAGAATGTGACGCTTAGAATTTCTAACTTTTCTTTTTTCTTGTCTTTGGGAAACTTAAAAATGTTACACTTTACCCCTACGTCAAGAAAAAGCTTGTCTAAATCCCTGTTTCAAGTTTGACTGTGTGCCATAGGGTCAGTAAAGCATGTTGAAGTAATTTTTTAAAAGTTTTAGACAGTTTTTATTCGTTTGCCTAGTACAATAACTGTATTTTTTAGTTTTTGTTTTGATTTTTTTTTTCATGTAAGGCAGGTCACACTATCATGAGGTTGTCTTTTTAATAAATGACGAATACAAAAATGTTTTTTCGTTTTTGTAGGGGATGTCTGAAAGATGAACTTTCTTAATCTTATACTGTATTCAATAAAAATCCTTTTTGACAGATATAATATGTTGAAAGCTTATATCACACTTATGAGTAAATGTTTGTCAAATTGTTGTGTAGTCATCTTTTTGAGCCTTTATAAATATATTTATGTATTAGGGCAAAGTTGTATTCTTATTGTCACATTTCTTTAAGACAATTGTGTATTCTTATGTTGCTTTGTGCATGAAACAGTAAAACAGAACATTTGCTTTTCTATGGTTGCTTTTTTAGGGTTCCCATTGCTTTTGACATCGTCTTTTTGAAGCAGAAGTATGCTTTCTTCATCAAGTGGTGCATCGTGTCTCTTCTAGTTTTTTTGGTGAGTACCGTGACCCATCCTCCTTGAATTGCAAATATTTTGACTCTTATTCAAGATAGATGTCTATCTTTTTCATCAAAACCAAAAGACAAGACAAATGAACAAACTTTGTGATTATATCAATTACTCAGTTTGCCCCCAAAAATAATTATCGTCAGAAACTACCAGGTTGTGACTACAAGTATGACAAGCTTTTTTTCCAGTTATGTTATTTAGAGCTATTGTTATTTTCTTGTCTGTTTTTATGTGATTTAACAACAGTGATAGTAATAATATCTGTAATTTTTGTTTCAGAAGGTACACAAATATAAGTCTATTGTTTCATTTTAATTTGCTTTGGGTAGCTGGAGGGTGTTACTTGTCAGTACTCTTCCTTTTCTTTCCAGCTGTGTTTCTCGTCTGTCCTGCTTTTTTCCTCCGCATTCACTGGCTGATTTTGTGTTGGTGTGTTTCTTTTCTTTCAAATAAACAGACAAGTAAAACAAAATGTGTCATGATGTGATGGAATAAGCGCTCATCGATTTTCATCAATGTGGAGTTATTGGTATCATCTTAAAACTTAAAACATTTATCTATGTTTTTATGAAAAAATACCCATCTATCTTGAATAGAAGTCGAGATATTATCAAGTAAAGAAAGTGGTGGTCGCCTAGTTTCAGAGGTACAATTAGCGAGAAAATGGCCGCAAAAGTACTTGGAAACTGCAAATGTACTTTTTTTGTGTGCCTTTGATTAACTTTTTTCGGTAGACTCCATACAGTAATGTCTTTTTAAATGAACATAAAAAGTGATTTAAAAAAATGAAAATTCGATCAATAATGCCAAACAGGTGGAAAAATGCTGGTATCTTAATTTCAGTTTTTTGACGTGCGCCTGATTTCACCATGATGCCTCATAAACATTATTTTTTTGTACAGGTTTCTTACAGCGAGTGGTAGCTATGCTGGTTCTACTTTCTCATCTCTTTCTTTTTTAGGTTCCTATGGTTGCAGTTGACCACCAGTACTATGGAAAACTGCTCATTGCCCCTCTCAACATTGTCCTGTATAATGTGTTCAGTGGTCATGGGCCAGATCTCTACGGTAGTTATGCTAGCTTTGTTCAGTTTTGTTTTGTTTTTCTTGAGAAAGAAGACTTGAATTTTCTGTTTCTTGAAAGGGAAGTTTTTGTTCTTTTACACCTAATTTTGTTTTATTTGGATTTTGAGTTTCTCTTTCTTGAAAGGGATTGAATATATTTTTTTCTTCTTTATAGAGAAGCTTTAAAAACTATTTTCCTTTTCCTTAGGGAGAAGATACTATTTTCCTTTTCCTTAGGGAGAAGATGGAGTTTATTGGGAAAGATTAGATATTTGCTGTTGTGCCTGACTATACTATTTTCCTCACTGTGAGATGCTAATAATAATATTGATAGATTGCGTTTCTATAGAGCTTTACCTCATACAAGTATAAGCTCTGAGTGCTCTACATCTTTCACTTGAGATGAATATAATCATTGCTTTGTCTTTTCTGAAGGTCTCTCTGTTATTAGAATTAAATCGGAGTCTTG